ACAGCACATGTGTTTATAGCCTGGTTTACTGAATATTTTAAGCCCATTGTTGAGAACTACTGCTTAGAAAAGATTCCTTTCAAAATATTACTGCTCATACACAATGTACCTGGTCTAAGAACTTGAGGGAGATGTACAAGGAAATTAATGTTGTTTTCATGCCTGCTAACACAACATCTATTCTGTAGCCCATGTATCAAGGAGTAATTTTGACTTTCAAGTCTTATTATTTAAGAAATACATTTCAGAATCCTATATCTACTGTTGACAGCAATTCCTCTGATGGATCTGGGCAGAGTAAATTGAAAACCCCCTGGGAAGGATTTATTATTCTAAATGCCATTATGAACATTTGTAATTCAGTGGAGGTGGTCAAAATGAGAAGAAGCTGATTCCATCTTTTATGGATGACTTTGCATTTTGTGTGTGTGTGTGTGTGTGTGTGTGTGTGTGTGTGTGTGTGTGTTTTCTTTTTCTTTTTTCTTTTTGTAAGAGACAAGGTCTCACTCTGTTGCCCAGGCTGGATGATAGTGGCGGGATCATAACTCTCTGTAACCTCAAACTCCTCCTAGGCTCAAGTGATCCTCCCATCTCAGCCTCCTGACTAGCTGGGACTACAGGTGTGTGCCACCACACCTAGCTGAGTTTTTAATTTTTTGTAGAAATGGGGTCTTGCTATGTTGCCCAAGCTGGTCTCAAACTTCTGTTCTCAAGTGATCCTCCTGCCCCACCCTCCCAAAGTGCTGGGATTACAGGTGTGAGCCACTGTGCCTGACCTGAATTTGAGTATTTTAAGACTTCAGTGGAGTAGGTAACTGAAGATGTGGTGGAAATAGCAAGGGGACTAGAATTAGAAGTGGAGCCTTAAGATATGACTGAATTGCTGAATGAGTCTCATAATAAAACCTTTAATGGATGAGGAGTTGTTTCTTATGGATGAGCAAAGAAAGAGTTTTCTTGAAATGGAATCTACTCCTGATAAAGATGCTGTGAACATTGTTGAAATGACAACAAAGGATTTACAGTATTACATCAACTTAGTTGATAAAACAGCAGTAGGGTTTGAGAGGATTGACTTCAATTTTGAAAAAAGTTCTGCTGTGAGTGGAATACTATCAAAAGACATTGCATGCTACAGAGAATTTTTTTGTGTGAAAGAAGAGTCAGTGGATGTGGCAAATTTCAGTGTTGTCTTATTTTCAGAAATTTCCATAGCCACCCCAGCCATCAGCAGCCACCACCCTGATCAATCAGTAGCCATCAGTATCAAGGCAAGTCTGTTCATCAGCAAAAAGGTTACCAGTTGCTGAAGGCTCATATGCTCATTAGCATTTTTTAGCAAGAAAGCATTTTTAAATTAAGGCATGTACTTTTTTTTAGACATAATGCTATTGCACTTAATAGAATATAGTATATTGTAAACATAACTTTTACATGCACTCGGAAACCAAAAAATTTTGGCCCCATTTATTGCGACATTCGCTTTATACTTGTGGTTTGGAATTGAACCTGCAGTGTCTCCCAGGTAGGCCTGTAATTGTTTCCAGACCCTCTACCAATTTAAAGAGCTTGATTTATCAAAGTGCTTCTTATAGCTATGTGGTCTCGTTTGGACCTTTTGATGATAAGCAATATAGACCCATTTATTAAGAGGGAGAAATATTGTAAGAATAGCTCAGACATTTGCTGACAGATGCTACAATGGTGCCAGGATTTACTAGAGGTAGAACCTGGACAAGAGTATTTTTTGAGGAAAAATGAGATGAGAGTATAGATTTGTATATAAAGATATTTATTGTAACATTATTTATAATAGTGAGAAACTAGAAAACATCAAAGGCCCTTTGTAAAATATTAAGTATTAATAATAAACCAGTATATAAAGGTAGGTTTAATGTGGTATTAATTCTGTAGGAAAAAATACATATATATGAGAGAAAACCCAGGATGAAATGGATAGTCCAAAATGTTAACAGTAATTGTTTCCAAGTGTTGGATTATGGCTGATTTCTTCTTTATATTTTTATGTATTTAAATTTTTTCTGTAGTTAACATTAATTACTTTTATAATTAGTAAAAGTTAATATGATAAAGTATTTCCAGAGCCTAAAATACATTAAGTATGGCCTTCAGAACTGAATAAACAATGTAGGGACACCTGGTTGAATGTGCTGGGATAGTAACATGAATTTATCTCTGTTTAAAAAGAAGGGAAGTATAAACTTAAAACAATTTTTGTCAACATTAATGAATTTATTAAAGTAAACATCTTACTCAGTATGGACTGTATGCCAGGAATTCAGTATGCTAGGTGCTTGGGGATACAAAGATAGTTACTGAAAGAAAGCTTGTTGTCATTTCTTTCAGAAAGTTTTCTGTGGTCTTCTCTGCTAGGCTACTAATTTAGGTTCTCTTCTATCATTGAATTTATCATGACATACTGAAATTATAAGTTCATTTGTTTGTTTCCCCAAATAGATTATGAGCTCCTTTAGGTTAAGGGCTATGTCTTTTTCATTTATATATCTTCAGTACCTAGCAATTTCTTGAATTAGCTCTGCTTGGGATGTCCGAAGTGATGATGCTTGAGGTAGGTTTTGGAGAATGAGTGCCTATGATAAAAAATTAGTTAAATTTACTCTTAATGAAATTCTTCATTCCCTTATAATGATAGATAAGGAACTATTATACTGCAGCAATTATTAATTTCAATTGAGCATATTTTATTCATCTTTTTAAAATGGATTTTGGTCTGGTCTAAGTTTTAGAACATAGTTCTGAGTTGGTCAGTAAAGTGAATTCAACTTTCCACTTACCTTTTAAAGGTAAAAATTTGGCATAAAGTGATTGCATTGTAGCTGAGGGGCAAGGGAGAAGTTGAATTCATAGGGATGAGGTTGAGAGATCATAGTAGATGATTTTTTTAAAAAGTATATTAACAAATTGAATCAATTGTTAAGGCTTCCATGAATTAGATGCATAATACAAATAATCAGAATGTTGTTGCCTTGATTTCATATGAGCTGGAATAACGTAGAATATATAAGACATGAAGCTGTTTAAAAAGTATAGCAAAAAGCAGTTTAGATCTAACATGTACTTTCCATCCCCAATCCATTCACAAATTATATCCCCAAAGTTCAATTATGAATTGATCCATTCTTTGGTGTCACAAGATAATTTTATAGCAAAAGTAACATAGACCTGTGGTTTTCAACCCAGGGGACATTTGGCAACATCTGGAGACATTTTTCGTTGTAATAACTTGGTGGTGGTAGGGGGAGTGCCAGGGGCTTATTACTGGCATCTACTGGATTGAGACTAGGGATGCTGCTAAACATCCTACAATACACAGAACAACCCACACTCCCCCAAAGAATTATCCAGCCCCAAATATCAGTAGTGCTGATGTTGGGAATCCCTGCCTAAACAATGGTCAAGTTTCCAGGCCAGCCTAAAAAAATCTTTATTTAACCCATAATAGTATATATAACCCATAACTCTGGCTTAGTGCTAACAGTGCCATTTCATTTGTCACTTAAAATTACTTTGTCTCCACAGAAAGAAAAGCTCTTCTTAAATTTCAATTTGGGAGACTGAGATTACTTTCCAATAGGAAAAGGCAGTTACTCCCATGATGTGGTAGAGATTTCAATGCCTCTGTTTAGTTTTCTTTTTTGAGACAGAGTCTCTGTTGCCTGGGCTAGAATGCAGTGGTGTCAGCCTAGCTCACAGCAATCTCAAACTCCTGGACTCAAGCAATCCTCCTGCCTCAGCCTCCCGAGTAGCTGGGACTACAGGCATGCGCCACCATGCCCAGCTAATTTTTTCTATATA